ATTTATTCTAGTGTTATAAGACCTTAGTTATTTTTTTATTAATCATTTTTTTTTTAATCAATGTTTTTAATTAATGATATAATAGCAATTTTTAAATTATAGTTTTTCTGTTAAAACGTTAAGTATCTTATAACTTTAAGAAGATAAATTGTTAATACATATTATATTTTATACGTTCTTATATGTTAAAATAAAATTCTACTCTAAATTATTTGTTATGAATAATAGGTAATAAAATAATAAATATTATAGAAATAAAAAATTAATTTAATACAATTTAAACAAAATAGTAAAAATGGTTATATCTATGTTTTACTTATTTCAAAAAGGTATATTATATAAAATGTTTATCATTTTTTTACTGCATTGCAGTAAAGATACATTATTTGTGCATTATCTATCGTAACATTTTCTTTATCATCTTCTATCATCGCTATAGAAATATATTTTAAATTATATAACAATATTTATATATTATATACGTATTTAATTGAAAACCATGTATTAAAATAAAAAAAACTAAATAATAAGTCTCTACTGTAAATGGGTAGGTAGATCGTATACATACATATTTCTCGTGGTCGTCGTTGTTATTGTTCCGTTGTCGTCGGCCGCTGCTGCTTAAAAGTAGTTTCCGTTATTTAAGTTACAAGTGGACGAGGTAATAAATTATCCTCCGTCGTGTTTATTCAAATCGTTACTTGAGTATTGCATTTGGGACCTTGTACAGCAGTTTTGTTTCGTTTACCACTATTATAATAACATTTACTTTATCTTCCGACTCTAGCACGGGCGTGTTTCAAGTGCCATTGAGTGTTCGCGAATGAATTCAATTTCGTTAAAGCATTTTAATTAAGTGAATATTATATAAGGTATTAAAAACATTTAAAACCATAATAATACAATCCAAATCGGTGTTTTATGTTATATAGTTAGTAATAAAGATCAATGGAAATATTTTTTAACGAGTTTTGTAATTTAATTTTCCTGTATATATTTTGTATAATTAAACCAGTCTATTGTAAAGCAAAATAATTAATCTACAATAAAATAAGTCGTATGATTAAAAACCAAAAACTAAATATAATGCATGCTCAGGTTTATAAAATGTAGTATCTATACACATTTTTACATAAATATTGGAGTAATAAAAATACGTATTAATCAAAAACTGTTAACTATATAATCATTATAGTTTAACAAACAGGCTATGATAAAATTATTAAAATTAAAACGCATTTAAGTTATTATTTATAACTTATATTTAAACAAAAAGTTCAATATACATATGTTGATATAATATGTACATCAATATTCCAACATTATTATTTGACGTCAATGCGTTCAGTGTGCCCACGTCATACTTTTAGGTTATCAAATGCATAATTTTGAAAAATTAATAATCAAAACAATCGTTTATTGCATAATAAACAAGTAACGTATAATACATTACGATTTATTATATAAATTTTAATAGATTTTTTTCTTATTTAATTATTGTTCTAAACAATAAATATTTCAGAACATGTTGACATATAGGTACGTCTACGTACTGCAAGTAAAACAGTATTTTAAAATAAAATACATTTTTCATGGTTATTATTTTTTAGTAACGTGGAGTGTACGTGAAAGAGTACAAATTCAAGTTGAGTGTTTTTGAATTGAAAAAAATCCTTCAATAAAGTCACTTGAGCTTTAACAATAAATACTAAAATACTACTCTTTTATTAATTTATAAATAGCACTTTTTGTTTAAAATACTGTTTATTTATAATTTTAGATACTTAAATACATAATGTCAAGACCTAGGTTAATAGTAAAATGGTCAAAAATGAATAAAGTTATATTTTTTGGCTAAAAATTTAAATTAAAAAGCTTGTATATTCTATTTTCAAAATATAAATTTAGCCTAAATTAAAAAAAAAAATTTCGTCAACCTTACTAAAAAATAAATAACTTAAGTACATCTTTAATTTTCAGGATCGTTGATTTTCAAATAGCTGTGAAATGTTCTAAATTTTTTTTTTTTTTTTTTAATAAAGCTTGTCATGTTTTTATTATTAATTTTTTTCTTGAAATTCAAATCAAGTAATAATAAATTAATGAAATAATATTTTTAGAGTAATAATTGCTTAATATTTTAATTAGAAAACTATGAAAAAAAAATATGAGTCAAAAAAAAGTAAAACATAAGATGAAACCCAATCGTTGATAAATCAATATAATATTTTTAACTCCTTTTAGAGTCTTAAAAGAGAAAAATTTAGGTACCTATTTATAATTTTATTTTATATTTTATATAACATTTATTAATTTTTTTTTTTCTATGATTTATATTTAAATGAATATATTGAAAAATATAGATATATTTTTTTTATTTTATCAAGATCGAAATATTAATAAAAAAAAAAAAATGTATTTAATAATGATATATATATAATTTATCTAAGTTTTACCTAATTTAAATAAAAAAAGTTCTAAATAGGCACCGTAATACATTTTAATTGGATTTGGTTTGAATGTTATTATGAGATATTTTTGAAATAGGTTAAATTTATTATATCTACCACAATTAACAATAAATACGTTTATACGGTACCTTTGTAATAAGTCATTTATTAATTATGTAATTTTTTTTTCTTACTGAAAATATTAGTATATATAAACAACTACACAATACGCTATTGATAACCTGTTTGGATAATTATATTGCTTATTAGTTAAAATATTGGAAATAATAATAAACTGATTGCACCAAACTTAGTGAATTTAATGATGTTCCTTTTAATTTATTATTTTATGATTTATTATGATATTATCATGATAGATAATAGTTTTTTTTCAGCAAATTATTATGTAATTTGAAACTGAAAATTTTAGTACGTGCTTTTTTGGTAAATATAAATTATTATCTTTATTTTTACGATATGCCTATAAACTGTGTGAAATGACTGGTAAAAAAATAATAAAATTATCAGAACATAAGTTATGGTTACACAATAAATCACTTATTTGATATCCCTATCTATAAACATAGTATTATACTTTAGTTATATGATTTTGTAATATAAAAAATTAATTTTAACTGGTAGTGCAGCTAAAATGTAAATTATTATGAAAGTTAGATTATTAATATCATAATAAATAACAGTATATCTACCTATTAAAAAAATTTTGAATTAAAACTAATAATTTGCTGAAATTGTTGTACGAATAATATATTTAATGTATACTTAAACTATGTACAATTATTATTATTTATTTTTATTAGTGACTTTTTTTTTTTTTAATAAATATTCAATGGGCTGTAATTTAAATTGAAAGTTTTATACATTATTTTGTCTATGTATATATATATAAGTTTATTTCCAATTCTATAAATTAAATAATATTCTTGAAGGAAAATACAATATGAATATTTTCATGAATGCATAAATTATATTTTCTATTCATCATTTTCAGAATATATTAAAATAATTTCATTGTATTACACTGGCAATTTTTGCAGATAAATAAACACATAACATATTATAATCTATCTATTATAAAATAATTAGATTTTTCTTTCCACACAATATTAGGAGTAAAGTAATAATTTTTATTTTAGTTATATACTTATATATTATTATGTTTGTGATAATTTGATTTTTGTCTGTAAAATGATTAGGCTTACAATTACAATGAATTGCGATTATTGTACATACAAAAAAGAAATAAGTTAGTGGTACTATTTTTATTTATCAATCCAATCAAATATTTGATCGTCTTCAAATCCGTTTGTATGAAGGGTGTTGGTAAAAATATGTCGGAGAAATTTATAATTTGGCTCCTCATAAAATTCAAGATGTCTAACGTATTTCATGTATTCTGCCATTTCTATCAATATACAACAATTTTTATTTTAATATAAACAATATTTGAGGGGTTTTAGAAGCAGTTATTTGCTGTCTATGTATATATCATATTACCGTTCTGTTTCTATTATAATTTCAGATTAATTTACGTAATATATATGTTACGGTAAATGATGTTATATCAGAAATTAACGTTATTCGCCGGTTATTAACGTTATTTACCTACGAATGTGGGAATTATCGTTATTTTCTAGTGAATAACGTTAATAACCGTATGATTAGGGAAATTTTGATCTGATTATAAAATAAAAGAGGTTATTGCGAAAGATTTAAAAAAATAACCAAAGAACCAATCATCAAAGAAGACAAAATCGGAAATTAAATCATAGAAATCGTAGAAAAAAATTCGGAACTTGGTACTTAAATATTTTTTAATTATTTAACGATAAATTTCCGAATTTTAAATATAACAAAAATAAAACTAAAATATAAATATTTGAAAATTATTCTAAATATTTTTTTGATGATTGTCAAGAAAATATTTGTATTGCATGTAAAAATTCAAAAAAAAATTTAGAAAAACAAGGAGAGGAAATGATAAAATTTTCTAAAGAAAAGTTTCCTCAGCTTGAAATAGGCTTAACTGTATGTGTATTTATACCAAACGTTGATAGAGCTCGTGGTTCTATGCAAAATATACTATCAGTTGTCACTCAAGTTGAACATGATTTATACAAACTCTGTTAGTTAATTCTTAATGAAAAAATATACTATTAAAATTAAAATTTGTTTTATTATTTTATAAGTACGGAATATAGTTTTCTTAAATACTATTTCACATACCAAAAATAGTTGTTTGCAAATAAAATCTATTAGACATAGACAATGTGATAAAATTAGCAGATGGTAGGCAGTTGACACTGAGCTAGTAATAATTCGGTTGCAAACCCTTAAAGGTACCAGCGTTGTCACTAGTTGTAATAATAATAAGCATTGTGCATACCTTGGGGCTGAAAAATTATGTTATATTAAATGTCATGGGAGTAAAACTTGTAAAAATAAATAAAAAATAATAATGCATTTATTCTATTTTTAAAAATATCTGGGTACTTACATAATTTTTCAAATTGTTGTATTTGAGATTCATGCGCTTATCTGATTTATAACATTAATTACCTGTGTATTTGGTCATTAACGTGATTATCCAGTTTATAACGATAATTACCTGTATATTTGGTAAATAACGTTAATAACCGGTGAATAACGTTAATTTCCATTTAACATCATTTACCGTAACATATATATATATGTATACAGGATTCAATAAGTATTTAAAAAAAAAAATAATTGAATTTGTCGTGCACATGAAATATACATTATATCATGTTTTCAAACTTATATGAAATCAACTAAAATTAATTAAATTATCACATTTTATGATCCATTTTTCTTAGAATTTTTAGGGGATTAAGGCACAAAAGAAAAGCTTTAAATAAACATAGACAGCAATGTTTTTTTAATTTTTTTTTTTAATTTATGTATTATTTTATATATATTATACGTATAATAATTGTAAAATTTTTGATATGATATGATAAATTTTTACCGGGGTAACCCTCACAAAGGCTATCGATTGGTGTACTTTTTTTCATCTCGCCAATTTTCTGAAATCGTTCTTTCGCATTATGAACTTTAAGCCCTTGCCAAGGCAAAGAGCCTCGTGCCAAGTACATGTACATATGACCTAAGGACTCTAAATCATCACGACGGCTTTGTTCTGAAATGACAATAATTGTGAATGTTTTTTTTTTCAAACTTTCAATTTAATTGTGCATTAGCAAACAGTTTAAACGCTCGTAGCACTATTATATTATATTAACCAACCTTTTCCGAGGTGAGTATTTATACTCATGTATCTAGCTGTACCAGTCAGATTTTTTTTCTCTCTATAAGGTATATGCTTTTTTGTTCTATGATCGATATATTCTTTTGCCAATCCAAAATCTGTTTATTATTTAATCTGGTAATTTTTTTCCAGTTTAAAAGTAAAATCAAGCTGTAGTTGATGAAAAGTATTTATTACCTATTATATAAATGGTATTATCTTTTTTTAGTAAATTTCTGCCAACGACAAAATTTTCAGGCTTGATATCTCTATACACAATTCCTCTTTCGTGCACGGTTTCTATCCTGTGCAACTATAAATAATAAGCGTTTGCAATGACGAGATGCAAAGTATTAAACATACATTTAGTAAATCATTGATAATACCGTGTGTATAGCGATCATTAGGATAGTTTTTAAAGTGAATTTTCTTTCGCAGGCATTGAATAAATCTTCCAAAGATGGGCCCAGCAGTTCCAAGACTAAAGCATTGTATTGTGTCCCAGCTAATTTGTAACAGTAAACTTTTGGTATTCCTTTCATCTTATGCGTTTTATCTACGTATTGATATTTTAAGTTTAAGTAGCTGAATTTTTCTTACATTAATAATTTATTGTATAATTTTCGAAAGGGAATTTAATTTCAAATAATAATAAAATAATTGTTAAATTATATTAAAGTTCGCAGATTAATATATTTTTCACGCTTTTAATAGACTATCAAAAAAATGAAGATGAAATGTAGTACCTATATTCTATGGATAAAATGGTATGCGCTGAAAGTACAGAAAATATATGTACATTATGTATATACTAAATATTTAGGAGTATATTATAAATTATTATGTAATACGTTTAATAGACTCGCGTTGTGCATAAATGATGCGTATAATTTATAAATATACTTACTGTATAACCTGACATTGGCCGGGAAAAAGCGAACAAGTATAAAATACAGTGCTATAATTAATATTTGTGTCAGAGTACATAAGATCATGGGAAAATTGATGTTAATGTACCTACCTCACTTGTGAACTAATTTCACCAAGTTAAGCAATTCGCCTATGGTGAATTGAATATAGTGCTTAATACATTTTCAAATGTGATTCAGGCTACTTTTGAAAATTTCCTGATAACTTTTAAAATTTTTGAAATTTGTGTTAAAATCAGGTAAGCATTTTTTTAGTCTGTAATCTATGATGATATAGGCATTTTTTTAAACTGTATTTCTGTAACCAATGATAACCTTAATTATTTAAATAAAAAAAGATGGATTTTATATTAAGTCAAAACGAAATTCATATTTAAGCTGGGATAGCTATAAGATATAGAGGTTGAAAAACAAATGTATTAACACTCCCAGAACCTTAAGGAATATGTTTAAAATTTGGTTCAAATTGGTTAATAATAGTTTCTAAGTTTATAAGCCTTGCCAAAACGTAGACTTATTTTTTTATGTATAGAATGATAGATTATAAAGGATAGATTTAAAAGATATTACATACAAATTTCAGTGTAATATTTTCAGATTTTTTAGTTATATACTCTACACGTATTTGAGGTGAGTTTAAGCAATAATTTTAATGATTTCTGCTTCTCAGCAATCAAATTAAACCCTAAATTTTTAGTTTGCTAATCACTTACCGGTTGCTCCCAACTGTCTATATATGTTATATTCAAACATAAGCTGTGGTATTTTTGCTGTTACAGACTCCTGTAAAAAATAAAGAAAATAATAACTTATTTTATTATTAATAGATGTATTGTTTATTGTATAAAATAAAATATTGATTATTTGTATTAAATTTATAAACTTTTTTTTTATTATAATCAAATAAAATACAAGGTCAATAATAATAAAATAATAAAATAAAAAACCGATATGGCAAATTGTCAAGATAATCCTCTGTAAGCTTTGTAACATGTAAATTTATATTAATATTACTCAAAAGTAATAATTAATGAATTTGATTGAATGCGTTTTAATTTGAAGGAAAAAAAATATAATAAATGAAATATATATATTATTGTAAAATGATTAAGTTAAATATTAAACAAGTATTGTGTATATTTGTATTTGAGTACTTATCACGAAATATGATATACCATAATTAGTAGTATTTATATATAAGTTCAAATATTGTAAATTAACTCTGAAGTTTAATTTTTATATTAGTAACATATAATTGGTTATAAAAAATATGTGTGATTAAATTACATGGATATTAATTGATAAATTAATCAAATAAAATAAAATTTTATAATTTCAGGAATAATCAATGACCACAGTTGAATAGTTTATTTAATAGAAAGTTTACTCCATACTCAAAAAAATATTAATTGGTAAATTTAAGTAAATGTAAGCATTGTGAACTGAGATAATTACTGTAATAGATAATCATTGTTAAATTAAATGAAGAATTATTGTTCATAATATTATTATTATTATTATTGTTTACAAATGATAATAAAAAATCTATGAATGATATATTTAAGCTTTAGGCAAATAATAATCTTTTAACCAGAAAATGTATCGTAAAATAATAGTATGTTTATCAAATTAATAGTAATTCAGACTAACTAATAACTATATAGACCAATAAAAGGTTAGATGGATGCAAACTACACAGGATAAGGTCAGAAGGGTATAATATTAAAATGTATAATGTATTTCCGACTTCATATAACATAGAATAAAAATATGAATAATTATTTAAATTTATCATACTAATAAAATTATTTTTAATATTTGTTTTCAATTAATTGCAAATATATTATTTACTTCACTTTTTTAAATTCATTATGGAAACAGATATTATTACAGTTTGTTTAACATGGTTTAATTGAATTTATCTCTAATAATTATTATATAAGTAAGGTATGATTTTTTTTATCATCAGTATCAAAAAGAAATTATAATTTTACTATTAAAGTAGGTAATCGATTTTTAACGGAACTATTAATTTATTTGTTCTTATTTTTTAGTATGGTTTTTATGGAATAATTCAAAATAACTGATAACTCTATAACACACATATTAGATACAAACGATATTATAGAATATATATACATATTTTTTTAATGTCTCCGTAGTTTCTTAATAGTCGCAAAAAAAATATGAAATAAAAAAAATAAAACAACTATGAATTTATTATTTATATTAAAAGTACCAAAATCTACGAATAATTAATTTTTTCAACAGGTTTAAATGTATGGATTCTAAGAATATGAGTATTTTAGTATTTTTATTTTATAAATTGTTTATACTATTGTGGGACTAATTTATAAATATTATTTATATTTAGCCACAAGATGGGCTATAGAAAAAATATATTAACAGATCTGAATCAAACAGATTTTTTCGTATGCTAATGTGGATTTAAACTTTTAAGTTTATATTGTTTAATCTAAAGGAAACAATAAGAAAAATGTAATGCTTCTTATTAAAGATACAGTTTTAAGTAGAGATAAGATCTCTAATTATTAATTATCATACATGATGATTAACTAATATTCTTGAAGATCTTTTAAAAATATTTTTCTTATTATCATTTTTTTACTGCCTACAATTGTGATTTCAGTCTAATAATAATATAGACTAATAATAATAATAATAATAATAATACAGGCTAATTTAATAAGTTATTCAATTTTATAATTATCATCTGCTAATTGACAAAACTATTAACTTATGCTATTAATTTATTAAGTGGTTTCAAAACTTTTTCCCAAGTTCTCTAGTACATCATTATGAACTAAAATATAATATAACAAATGACGTAAATAAAACTTTTCAAACTTTTTGTAGAGATGCAATTGAAAAAAAAAATCTTTGAGTATATTTTTCGAATGCCAAATCTTATTATTATGGAAAATAATATAGTGTATATCGCTATGACTATAATCTTGATTTTATCGTGCTTAATACTTATATTAAATTATTGTTAATTTAACTTGAAATTTATCTAGTATTCGAAAAAAAAATATTTATACGTCATACAGTTGAAATTTGTTAATTACTCTAAATATTAATATTTAAAAAAATATCTATGATTGTTAAAATACTGTTTTTATGGCAACGTCTTCGTTATTTCTTATGTCTTTTCCAATCCGAACTTCCCCAAAATTTCCTTTTCCAATTCTTTTACCAAGTTTGTAATGGTCATCCACTAATATGGTTTTGGAACTTTTGACGAGAGCTTTCTGTGTTAAACTAGGAGGCTGAACCATTCCCGATACTGTAGTTTTCTTTTGCTGTGCCATCTAAGATAGTTTTCATAAAATCCATTAATAACAGAAACAATATCGTTATTACATTAGTAAAATATATTTTTACACAGCTACCTTTTAATTCTGTATCGAGAGACGTATACAATCGATACGATATTTTCAGTATTTTTTTTATGTGTCGGCTTTGAAGTTTTTTATTTTTATTTATTTTAAACGTTTATTTGATTAATCTTATAATACAAAACATGAAAGTAGTCAAATATACTTAACAAAATTCGTTTCTATAGGAAAATATAAATAAATAACTGATATGAATAAAATATATTATGTACTTATTGTACTTTAGTATGTAAAATAAAAGCTACATGAGTTTTTCTACGAGCATGAATAAAATAATGCATTCTTTTTTATTCGTTTTTTTAAAATACTATTATAAAATGTTACGGTTACAATAATATTACTTGTTACTGTCATGATATTCTATAATTATACGTGTTCAATGTTTTCATTTATAGTGTGCAGTGTATACTTAAAATTGTTATTAATATATGTTATATCGTAGGTACTAGGTAGTATAAATAAATTTACATTTTTATCAAAAATATTATTGACACGTGCAATAATATAAAAAAATACATATTGACGCAAATATCTGTTTGAATTAATTATAGTATTCTGATCTAAAATGTTTAAAGCTTTAAAAGTTAATTTATATCCAACGAGTTAATAGCACGTGCGAATTTAAACGTATTTTTCGTTCTTTTGGTTTATATTATTGTACGTGTTAAATACTTCAGTTGTTATTAAAAAAAAATTATATAAAAATGCACGAAGGAAAAAAATCTAGGGTTAGTTTAACCATTTTGAAATCCTCACAGAAGAGCATATTATCTTATGCCGAAAATGTAAGTACTCTAGCCCGAAACAGTATACACGGTGTGGAACCTCACATATTTGATTTACACAAAGTGATCTTCCACACCTACCACCATTGTATAGTGAACCGTCTGTTTTATATCTGCCACTTGTCTGAAAGAATAGCTCACAAAAATCCATTAGTCTGTTTAATACTTTCAGTCCAACACTAAGCATCTAAGCATTTACAGTCGTGTCTAGTGTCGCACAAAAAACCATCGACCTATATATTTACTTTATTTAACACGATTAATCGTAAAGGGACATAATTATCGAAACGTTTTGTTTCAATTTTTTCTATACAAACCAAAACTTAAACGAATTGATTCTTCAACATAGAGCATATTGTATCTTTATCAGTATTTATCAGTTATGACTTATGACGTTACGAGAAGACTATATATTTGAGTTATTTAAGGAGGGTGAGATGAACGATGTATAGTATATTATCTGTTAACATGAATATTATTAAATATAAGTTGTGACTTGAACTCTAAATTATAACAATAAAACTCCTATAATTTTCAGCTTTTCATCAATTTTAATTTAAACTATGATAATAAAAATGAATATATATATACTCATGAATATATATATATATATTATATATTATATAGATGAATTCATAAAGATATTGTCTTTCTGTATTCATATTATACTTTTAGTACTATATTGTATATTTTATAAACAAATAGTAATTTTTTTCGTTTTAATAATAATAACAAAGTAAAATGTATCTTGTTAGAGAAAAAAACATCAAGTTAAATAAACTGAAGATATGATCTTCGTATACAAATATATATTTATTTTTGTATATAAATATCATATATTCATAGAAGTTTAATGTTTCAACATTTTATTCGGAATTCCAACAATTTTATTTCCTTTTTTTTTACATCAAAATAGATATTTTATTTAAAAATTATGTAATTCATTAAATAATTGAACTCGTTTTCAAAAGGAATATTATTTATTCATTTGATCAATTATAAATATACTTGATGAACAATATTTAATTAACTCATTTAGTTAACTGATTACTAGATTACTAACGTTTAATGATAAACAGGAAACTATAGAAGACTGTGTGGTGTGCGGTGTAGCATTAGACTTAATATATACCTAACCTCCGTTTAAACTTCAATATTTCATTTTAATCATAGCATAGTGTTAACTTTATACGTTAATAATAATTAGTTATGCTTAGTGATTAAGTGATTTTACAATCAATTAGTATTGTTTAAATAAAAATAAGGTGTGTAGATAAAATAACTTGAAATTTTCAAAAAAAATAAACATGGGAAACTAAATTTAAGTTTTAAATGTTTGTTTAATAAACGAAAAGGTCTAACGGATGTTTGTTTTACGTATTTTCAACGATATTTTTTTTGATTTAATGACAAAATAGTACTTTGAATTTTCAGTGTACACAGTTAAGTCAATATTGTCAATGGCTATCTTAATGTTTTTTAGGTATTTTAACCTTTTAGAGAATAATTTTGTTTTCAGCATAACATAATTTGTGTTGAAACAATATCAATATTATGTTATGAACTGTATTTTTCTTTAAAGTAAAATAAATACTAAATTATAAAATGCAGGTGAATAATTTATTTTTATTTTAGTTTACTCTTGTAACAATATAACATAAAAACAAAAGAAAACATTAAAATTTATATTATCCAACACAAATTATTTTAATGTTTACGTATAGTTGCTTAAATTGTATTTTCATATGATATTATGTAAGAACTATTATCATTCGAAAACTTTAAATTAAAATTAATCATACCTAATCAAAAGTAAGTTATAAAACTTACATGAAAATTATGTATATGAAATATTATGAATTAAGTGATAGGTGTGAATACTGTAAACTAACAATTTTTTTCATATTTAGAATAACCAAAATGCAATATTTTTTATAAAATGTAAGCGTTCCATAAGAAAATGTTTGTGAAAACTTTTAGATAAAAAATTCATATGACACAAATCAATATTATTGTTAAAAGTAATAATTTGTTTTTTGTAAACTTAGTAAAACTATTGTAAGTTGGTAATAATTCTAAAAATGTTCATGAAAATTTAATGACGAATATATTTGTTAGTTTTAAATACCTACTTATTGTATTCAATGATAATGCCGTATATTAGTATATTACACAAACCTAAACAGGAGCGGATTGGCTAAGAAGGCAAAGGGGCAATCACCTCTTGTACCCTTGATAGTGTCAATTAATAAAATGTATACATATTTAAGATTAAAATGTAATATTAAAATATAATTGTAAAACACCATTTATTTTCAAATGAATTAAAATAAAATTGATTATGCACTAATAACTAAAAATATTTATTAATTCAAATGTGATAATAATATGCCTAGTTGATTAACCCTCTGAACCCCTCGACACCCAGTCCACCCCTGAACCTAAACTATACGCTTAAGTACTAAAAATCTAAACTGTGGAACATCCGTCCGGTTGGCACCGGTTAATTTACGATACATTATGTTTATTAGAGTACTATTGGATATTGTAAACTTGTAAATTATTATTTTTTTATTGAAAAGATTGTAATTTAATTGTACAATACAATGTTGGTTATTTTATAGTTTATACGTATACAAATTATATGTTGAGCTTATTATTTTAAAATATGAATTCAATCAACCGAACGTTTACAACAATTTATTTACTGTACAAGGAACATTCTAATAATATATAAGTACCTTAAATTAATAATAGTCAAATAAATAAATTAAACTAAAGTATTCGTAGAATAACGTGACTCAAACATCGTTAGTCTATAATATTATGTAGTGTATATTTCATATAAAATAATTGTTACCGATTTTATAATATTTTCTGATGATTTAGAATTTATATAATTTATGTAGTTGATCTAAGATTCATGTTATCAAAGTGCTAGATAATTTATGGAATAATTTAATTTCTATCTGGCTGACACCGTCGACACATCTGTTAGTAGTATTTAAGTTATAAAAAATATGTAATAAACTCTTATGCAAGTTATAATAGACAGATGAACGGACGAATACACGTAGATAATTTTTTTAAATATTAAGCTCATAATAACCTACAACTGATAACAATAATATACATATATTTAATAATAAATTGTCCGGCGTAGTAGTGGATCGTGGTACTTACTCTAAATGTAAATACAAAATGATAAAGAGTTACAAAACTACATATTTTTTGATTTTTATTATATACTATAATTACGGTTAGAAAGAGACAGATTGCAGTTGTTAGTGATATAGATATGAAGCAGATTCCTATCTATATAAATAATCGTGCTTTAAAAAACAAGATACAATATTATTAAACAATATTTATTTTTTTATTTTATGAACGTGTATTTATTAATGATATTGTTTATTTAAATCATAATATTATGGATTTTTTTAAATATGCAATATTTTATAATTATAATTCATACATGGTTTTATTAATTACAAACTAATAACTATAGTAAAATAAATAAATTTAAAATTTATATTATAATAACTTGTTTATTATAGCATCAAAAATGTAAATAATTAGTATTAATATTATATAATATATGTATATTAGGCTTAGGTGTTTAGGTGCCAAATAAAATAAATTTCGACTTCATAAGTTACAAGTGTCAACTTTACACATTCACATCCAGTTATATCTTCACGACTTTTTTATTAATAACATAAAGATAGGTAAAATGTTTCATGTTTTAAATGGAATTAAAATGTTTGCGTTTTAGGTAAGTTTTGGAATATATTTAACAGACAATTTCAGTAAAATTTTTTGATACGAAATCAATTATATTGTAATTAAAAAACATTAAAATTTTTTTCTATTAAATATATTTTTGACAAGTGTGGAAGCTACAAACTTAATACTAAAATAATAGTTTATCAATAAACAAAATAAATATAAAAAAAAAATAAAAATATATTGTTGAATCAACGTTATCTTAACTTCGTTTGGAATTAATAGCGAGTTTCAGATAATTTAATAAGTACATGAGTGTAAGCATATACTAATAGTAATACTAATTAGTTTTATTTATTAGATGCCTTTAAAATAAGTAACCCGTTTTATTCGGTAATTTTT